ATATAGACACACCAATTGAAACCGCGCGCATGTAAACATTATATATATATATATATATATTTATTTGGAAAAATAATAAAATAAAATAAAAGAAACATGTCTAATAGGACAAAAAGGCATCAGAAATAATTATCAACGGTTACATACATAATCAAGCACTGTATATGTATAATCAACTTTTATTAAATTTAAAAAAAAAAAAAAAAAAAAAAAAAGACACTCTTGAATGGGAATCACGCTGTCTGGGTTTTGCTACATTAATTTTCAACTGTCTTTCTTATGCAGCACAGGATCCACAAAAAATTCTCATCCTTTTGTGTATTGTCTTCGTTTTTCTTGTGTATGGTAAGGATTTTTTTCTTTAATAAGGTGTTAGTGCGTTTTTTTTTTCTTAGTTTAGTTACTTTAAAAATTAACTTTTTTTCGAAATTAGTAACTTTGAATTTTTTTTTTTATTATAACCGTATGTTGTTTATTGTTATAGTTCACTAAAAGCATGAGAACATTGGAATAGGTCTTAGTTATTGCACTTATTATAAATTATTATGAGTAAGACAATAAACATTATTAAAAAAAATTTAACTGTGAAAAAAAAACGAGTAATTATAATCAAAATTCTAAAGCAAATATTTGATAGTTCTTTCAATTCTTCCTACGAGAGGACATCCGGAGATATTTAAAAAATGAACAGAGGACAACAGCCCCTCGTCAGGCAAGCACTCCAGATTTTCGCAATCGAAAATCGTCGAGTGTTGAAGAGAGCAGAGGTGTTGAAAGCCCATGCGATTCAAGTCTCTAAGCCTTGGAAAACCACCGATCAGGACATAAGTGAGAGATGTGGGCAATTGCTCTTCGAGCAAGCTCTGGAGCTTTTTCACAATTCCAAAGGACCAGCTTTTTAAGAGAGATTAGCAAAAATATGAATAGTAGGTAATGACGTGAAAAAGATGAATAATATGGATAGTAGGTAATGACGTGAAAAAGATAAATTTCTTTATTAAGAGTTTGAAAGCAGTTATTTATAAGGATGTGAGCATGTCGATGCCTTAATCGTTCAATGAAACAATTGAACTGACTATGATATCTGAGAAGGGTATTAAGAGACAAGAATTAGAGAATAAAACTACTTATGCCGCTAAGAATGGCCAGTGAAAACTACAGCAAAAGGGAAACAGTAGTAAGAGTGACAATAAAATGCTAACAAGCGGCCTAAGACAGAAATACAACTGCTAAGGAGTATCCAAAATATCCTAAATGTGGGAAAATGCATGGAGGAGAATGTCAATATGGTACCTTTAATTGCTACACTTGTAAAAAACCTGGTCACGTTGCTGCAAATTGTGGAGCTAAGCCTGATGGTCAAAAGAAGACTCAAGGAAGGGTGTTTGCATTGACGGCAGAAGATGCTGAAGAATATCCTACTGTTGTGGCAAGTACCCACTTCATTTCTAGAATGATAGCTCACGTATTGATAGATTCAGGTTCTATTCATTCATTTGCATCTCTTGCATTTGTTAATAAATTGGATAAAGTACCAGAGATATTGAAAAGTGGGTTTAGTGTAGTTTTACTTTCTGGAGAGATGTTAAGGTCTAATAAGGTGTTGAGATCTTGTTTGGTTATGATAAATGAGAGAGAGATGTCTGTAAATTTAATCATTTTGGATATGAAAGATTTTGATGTGATTCTTGGTATGGATTGGTTATCTAAGCATAGAGTCACCATAGATTGTCATCAAAAGACAGTTATTTTTAAACCTTAAGAAGGACATCAATTCCTTTTCATTGGAAGGTCAAAGAATGTCTCTTTTTCAATCATTTCTGCAATGAAGGCAAGCAAAATGATTTGTAGAGGCTGTATTGGTTTCTTGGCCTCGGTAGTTGATACTTCAGTTCGGGATGAGCTAAAACCTGAAGATGTGCCAATTGTTAGGCAGTATTTGAAAGTTTCCCCTGAAGATCTTCCTAGTCTTCCTCCGGATCGAGAGATAGAATTTGTCATTGACATTGTTCTAGGAACAGCTCTTATTTCTAAAGCACCATATCATATGGCACCATCAGAATTGAAAGAGTTGAAGATTCAACTTCAAGAATTGTTGGACAAAGGTTTTATTTGTCCAAGTTTTTCTCCATGGGTTGCACCAGTTCTTTTTGTGAAAAAGAAGGATGGTTCAATGCGGCTTTGTATTGATTATCGAGAATTAAACAAAGTCACAGTAAGGAACAAGTATCCTTAGCCTTGGATTGATGATTTGTTCGATCAGTTGCAAGGAGTAGCGGTGTTTTCAAAGATTGATTTAAGGTCCGACTATCATCAGTTAAAGGTGAAGAAATCAGATATATCCAAGACAACTTTCAGAACACGGTATGGACATTATGAGTTTTTGGTTATGCTATTTGGATTAACCAATGCTCCAGCGACTTTTATGGATTTGATGAACTGTATGTTTAAGAATTTTCTTGATAAGTTTGTCATTATTTTTATTGATGGCATACTTATTTATTCTCGGACTCATGAGGAGCATTGTGAATACTTGAAAATAGTTTTGCAAATTTTGAAGGAGAAGCAACTATTTGCAAAATTCAAGAAGTGTGAGTTTTGGCTGGAGAAAGTAACTTTTCTTGGTCATATTATTTCAAAGGATGGAATGTCTATGGATCCTAGCAAAGTTGAAGCTATTAGTGTTTGGCCTAGACCAAACAATGTCTCCGAAGTTCGTAGTTTCCTGGACTTGCCCGGTTATTATAGACGATTTATTGAAGGTTTCTCTAAAATTGCTACTCCTCTGACTGCTTTGACGAGGAAGAATGTGAAGTTCACTTGGTCTGATGCATGTGAAGAAAGTTTTCAGGAATTAAAAAAGCGATTGATCTCTGCTCCGGTGTTAGCTCTTCTGTGAGGGACTGATGGTTTTGCTATCTATAGCGACACTTCAAAGAATGGTTTGGGTTGCATGCTTATGCAAAATGGGAAGATGATAGCTTATGCTTCACGTCAGTTGAAAAGCTATGAGAAGAATTACCTTACTCACGATTTGGAGCTAGCTGATGTTGTTTTTGCTCTCAAGATTTGGCGTCACTATCTTTATAGTGAGCACTGTGAGATATATCCTAACCACAAGAGTTTGAAGTATTTATTCTTGTAGAAGGAATTAAATATGAGACAGCGAAGATGGTTAGAATTTGTTAAGGATTATGATTGTGTCATCAATTATCATCCTGGTAAGGCTAATTTGGTGGCGGATGCTCTTAGTAGGAAGTCAGCTGTTGTTAGTTCAGAATAACAATCTTCGTTTGCAGACTTAAGTAAAATGAAAATTGAAGTGGTTTCTCAAGAAACAATGGCTAAGCTTTCAGCTTTAGTGTTGCAGCCAAGTATCATCAATACGATTAAGCATAGTCAAGATTCAAATCCTTATTTGGTTCGTATGAAAAAGAAGGTTCAAGCTGGCAAAAAGAATGACTTTCAAGTATCTGATGAGGGTGTGATCTTTTGTGGTAATAGGCTGTGTGTGCCCAAAATTAAGGAATTGAAGGAGATTTTAGATAAGGCTCGTTCATCTCCTTACTCAGTTCATTCAGAAATGTCTCACTTGTCAGCAAGTCAAGATAGAACATCATTGGCCTTCAGGGAAGTTGAAACCATTTTTTATCCCAGAATGGAAATGTGAGCACGTTACCATGGATTCTGTCATAGGATTGCCAAGGACACAGAAGAAGTTTAATGTTATTTGGGTTAATGTAGATAAACTTATAAAGTCTGCTCATTTTCTTCCAATACAAAATACTTTCAGTATGGATCAGTATGCACAGCTTTATATCGAAGAGATTATCAGGCTTCATGGTTCACCTGTATCCATTATTTTTTATCGTGGCCCAAAATTCACTTCAACATTTTAAAAAAGTTTGCATTCAGCTATAGGAACGCGCTTGTCTTTCAGCACGGCCTATCATCCTCAGACTAACGGGCAATCAGAGAGAACTATCCAGACTCTAGAGGACATGCTTAGAGCTTGTGTTCTTGATTTTTCAACTTCATGGGATAAAAACCTACCTTTAGTTTAGTTCTCCTACAATAATAGTTATCATTCGACTATTGGTATGGCTTCATACGAGGTGTTGTACGGTAGGAAGTGCATATCTCCAATTCATTAGAATGAGGTTGGAGAAAG